AATGAATGAAAAATTACTTTGAGATGCTCTATGAATAAACAGAAGTCATAAGGGTAACTTTTAACTTTAGGCATCGCAAAAACAACAAATAGTCACTGTGCTTGGAACAGGAAACTGAAGGCATCAAACATGTATCATGGGGCAAGTTACAAGGCAAGGAAAAGAAATACTGAGCAAGTGTCAATAAAGCAAGCCAATAAAGCTGCATAAAGGAGGTTAAAAGGTCAGATGGGGGAGTAATTTTAGTTTGACTTTTCAAACCTTGCTTTTTTGGGGAACAAAAACTTTAAAGGTAAGCACAGAACACTAGGACACTAGAATCTGAGAGAAAGTGAAGATTTCTCTTGCTAGCTATCATGCCATCCAATTAAGATATGATACCTTTTAACCATTGGAGTAATGTTACCCATTACTTCCTAAAATGCTGAAAAGGCATGGACTGTATTACATGACAGTAATTTCCTTTGCTTAAATAGCCCCTTGTGTGTGCTCACAGCCAGATAATTTTGCCTCAATATGTTGCTTAGTCCCTCCACTTGCAATAGCTTGGAAAGATTCTGCCTTTTGTTTCATTTGCTTCTGCTGAAATACACTGCTGTGCTTGCCTTCAGAATAGCTGTAGCCAGAAGTAAGATCAGACAAAAGAAAGAAAAACACTGCTGAAACTATACTGTGATAAAATTTAGTTCATCCCCTCCTCAAAAGCAGGGTCAACAGTACCTTAAATCATTCCTTGAGAGAGGGGAATTCATCTTTCCAAGAGGGTCTTTCAACACCAAACAAAAAGATTCTGGGTTTGCCTACAGTAACACAGTATCCTTTTTGCTTTGCCAAGCCACATACCAGCAGCAGTTTGACTTTATCTTCCTTGAAAAATGGAGTTGTCAGCAGAGGCTGATTGTTTATGATGGCTTGTACAGGTAGTAACACCAGATAGCTTCCAGGCGAGCATACTGCTTGAACTATATGAACATCAATAAGACACAGCAAAAATGAAAAGTATGTCTGGAAGTTTCCTTTTAGTACCAGCCAGCCAGAGCATTGCAAAACGATTCCACAGTTGTGCCTGTTTTTACCAAGAAAGCAAGTTGATCCTTTCCATTTCAGGCTGCCAGAAGCTGTCTCTGGGTTAATGAGTAAGATTTAAGATTTGTTCAGATCTTTCTTTAGTCTTAAAGAAAGTGGAATCCTATCCCTCTATGTAACAACGATTCTAGGTTTGTGCTCTAAACTCAGTGATGGATGCCAGTACGTGGATTTTATGTTGCCAGTGGGACTGCCATGTCAAAGCTGTCAAGTGCATACAAATAGTAACTATACTTGTGAGTATAGTCTTGGAACAGGGCAGATTTTTTTTTTTTTAATTTTAAATTTTTAATTTTTTTTACCCCTAGAATATAATAATATCTCTAGGAAACCCAGTGTATATTTTAATATACATATACCACTATACACTACTTAATTGTTTACGTGTGATTTAAAGCTGCATTCACCTCAGCCCTTTCAAACTGTTCTAAGCAGCTGCATGTAGAACTAGGTATCTTTTAAAACCCAACTCAGATGCTGCAAATTTTGACTAGGTAATAGTGCTAGACACTTCTCTACTTTGATGCTCATGTAATTCTTTTATTTTATTTTTGGATTGAGTCCCTGCCAAGTGCTATAATTTCTGAACCAGAAGAAAAGATATCTTCAGGTTAAAATGTCACTGTGCCCATCAGTCACACTTCAATGCATAGCTATAGTTCACAAGTTATTCAGAAGTGCAATGAATAATTCCACTCTAGAACTTTTCTTCAAGTTCCTTATTATTAGGTTTGAGACTAGAGTGACTAGAGGCGTGAATTTCTTCTCTTTTTAAAAAGACTTCATTTCACAAATATACAGGAATGAAATCCAGGAATACAAGGAGGGGTAATAAAGCAATCGATCTGGTGTCAGCACAACAGCAAACATCAACTTGTATTTATAACACTGAGAGCGTCTTGTTGGCAGCTGCACATCCTTGCCCAGTGAGATACAGCTGCATGTTTGGGCTGACAATGAAGTCTGCAGCATACAGAACTTGGGAACACTTTTTAATAGCTGACAGCACCCACAGCTACCAAAAAAAGGTTTCATATGTGCTTGGACAATTAACTCCTGGAGGATGGAAAGCTCTGGGTTCAATGAATAGAGTGCACAGGGTTATAGACAACAACAATGCTCTGGTCTGTGACTCAGATGATGCTACAGCGTTGTCTTCAGTACTGCCTTGAGTTTTGTCTTCAGAGAGACTACCTTTCTCTTTTATTATCTCAAATCTGAATGCATCCCCTTTCGCTGTTCTTTCCCTACTCTCTAAAACTACTATGATGAAAGTGTGTTTTTTGTAGTTTAAACAGTTACAGGATTTTACAACTGTAATTTGGGCAGCTCATACAAATAATGTTGTTTTTCAGAATCTTTCACAACAGACTTCTTACATCTCAAATTTTAATGTAGATGTTTGGACTAAACAGATGTTAAAAAAAATGAAGAGGCAAAAGTGAAACCAGCATGAGTAAAAGATTTTTTTTTTGTAGCTTATATAAAAACTTTTTTTATTGTTATGATGTGAATGCCCACCAGCTTTAACCACTAAACACAAAAGCCCCAGAAGATTCATGTCTGTCTGTTTATACAGTAAGCATAAGCACAATTTCCTTTTATATACATATATTGCTATTGTTTTAAAAGATTTTGCTGTTCACATTTTTTTCCTTATATTCCTACCATTTTTAAGACCGTATTTAAGGTTAACATTTAGTCCTCTGAGAAAAAAAATATGCTTCATAAAAATCTTCATAATCCTCATTTGCCCACATCAATCAAGTTTAATTGCTCAGTTAAATTGCCTAGTTACCTCCATTTGGAGACATTTAGATGTTTCTATCATTTCCCCTCACACCAATCTTCAACTTTAATAATAAAAGGCTGCTCTTCCATGCCTCTTGGCTAATTGTTCAGTTAAAAGAGTGTGAGCAGTCCTGGCATTTGAAAGATGTGTGAAAGGCCACCTGTGAATGGCTTAGGAACACAAAATCAATGACATTTATACATTGCGCGTTGTTTCTATGCTGTACAACAGAAAGTGTAATAAACTACAAATAGGTGGAAGAAAAACTTTTTAAAATAATGTACATTTTTTTCTCTCTCTGAGTCCTGTTGAAACTGTCTTGGTTTTCTAGTCAAACAAGACCATTTTTTAACTGTCTCTCAAAAAATTTATCCTGCAGAAATATTCACTTACCCATCCGTCCCTCTGAAGTCAATAGCTTGTACTTTAATTCTGCAGTGGGAAGAATGAGGGGCTGATCAGGTTTAATGTCAACATTCACAATGACAGTGAGAGACTGTAGGATCACCTCAGGACCATATTCTTTCTCTTTGAACAAAAAGATCCCCACTACCCTGACCAACCTCAGCAGACTGTAAAACAGGAGAGTGTGTGGAAGACTGCTGTCTTTCAATTTGTTGCCTTTTTTTCATCCCTTGACTCCATGTTTCATATCTGTTAGTTTTTTCCTTCACTGTCTCATTTTCTGTTTTTGTTTTTGCTCTCTTTAGGTAAGCTTTCTCCCAACTCTTATCTTCTACCCCCATTTAATGTCATTTCCTCCTCCTTTCCATCTTGATTCATCTTTGTAAAGCTTCCATTCCTTCCATCTCTGTCTTTCTAGATCTTTCCTCTTACTCTCTTCTGTTTTGGTATCTTTTCTTACTCTCTTATCTTCCTTCTCTACTTCTCTCTGAGGACTCTCTGCCTTTGGCCTTTTCCTGTAGGTTGGGCTCAATGGTACCTTTCATGAATGCTGATTATCCTGGCTGGAGTTCTATGAGTATTACACCAGCTGAGTAGCTCTTCATTTGAATCATGCCTTGAAGACATTTAGCAGGAAAGGAGTGTCGCATCCAGCTTTGACTGACAGCTGACTGGCAGGCAAGAAAAGCAGCAACCATCTCTCATGGGAATGCTTAGAGACTTGCAAAGGGAGATAAAATGTCAAACCACTGTGATCTGCAGCCTTTGCTAAGAGGCTTGAGAGATCAAACTAGATCAGCTACAACCCCATTTTAGTTTGCAAAACCAAGTTGTATTGTTTCTGCTTTGAATGTCATTATCAGTAGCATAATTTCTGCATTTTGAAAGACATACTCCTAAAGACTGTGGCACCTTGGGCAGGATAGACTCTCTTTAGGCTCTTAACACAGGTGCATTAGCTCTACAGCTCACATAAAGCTTGTTACCTACATGGGGGTCAGCTGCTCAGGGAGGTGGACCTTCTCAGAGTTAAGCTGTGACATTTCTTCTTAATTTTTTATTTTTTTTTTTTACCCTTTCCCAGCTGACAGCATGCTTTGAGATTAGAAATATTCAGCTGCCTATTTCTTCTTAGTATATATACACAGTGTGCTTCAACCATGCTTTGTAGTAGCATGGCTGGTGGTGTGAAGGTCATGTCATACAGTGGCACTGCGAAACCTCATCAGAAAACGGGTGCAGCATTGTTGTGTGGAGTGGGTAGCAAAAAGGGAAACAATTACCTTTTGTTGAGTAGAGAGAATCGTCACCAAAAATGTAGGTACTGTGAATCCTAACTTAGATCTAAACATCTCCTGGTTTATATAGTTTGACTGCAGCAAAATTAGTGAGCATGAGGGAAAACACATATCCCAGTATAAAGCTAAAAATCTGGCCTGTAATTATGCTGCATTATTTCCAGCCACAAAATAAAATGCAAAATCTTTAATAGAATTGCCCATGATTTGCCATGGGACTTCCTGGTTAAAAGAAGACTTGTTGATTACAATCTGAAGATGAAGCGCGCTACCTTTTCACTGAATTACTCCTCAGCAGAAGCTGGGCACACAAGAACATGAACTAAAAGTTGTAGCAGGCAGTGTTCTTCCCTACTTGCTACTGCTGGCTTTCCAGTGCTTCTAAAATCAGAACACAGATGCATACAAAAGAAACTCACCTTGCCAACATATTGGTAGTCAGTTCCTGTGTATTCCTCCAACAAAAAGAACTGATTCCACATCCAGCTCCTTTTGGAACGATGGAGATCTTGCCTGCTGTTTCCAGACAACACCAAAACCTTCTCCTTTTCTGGAAAGCCACTAGTCCTTTTGGATAATGGAGTTAAGAAACTTTGGTGGGGCTGACCAGCCCAAAACAGCAGCCAGAAGCAATGGTAAGTTCTCATCACGGCAACACAAGATGGTCTAAATAATGATTTTTTTGTCTTGCCCTCAAATTAACCTACTTTACAGAACTAAATCCAATCACATGCCATCTTCCTTCTTTAAATAGTCTTTGCAGTCTCAAAGGATCTCTGAAAGGAAAAAGAACAAGATTTTTAGCATTTCCAAAGGTACTTATCACTGCAGCAACTAAGTCAACAAAGTAGATGATAATAATGACTGTTGAAAACTTGGGCTGTTTCTGATTCAAAATGTTGCAAATAGTCCTTCAAATGGTCTGAGTGAATCTTTTTTGAGCATAGGGAAGGAGTCATGATGTTTTTTAGGGAGTGTGTGGGTGTCCTTTAACCCCATTTGCTTCCCTCCATCGATAAAGGCAAGCTCTTTTTATTGCCTGAACTCTGGGATGTGGCTGATTATTTTCTGATTTGGGGTCTTGATGAGGTTACCATATTACATTAAAGAAGTGCTAGAAAAACTGCATGCTGTCTTCCTAGGAGGCATTCTGTTGCTATAGTTATGGACTGAAGAGACTGGACTTAACTCCAGGATTTTTCCCTCACATTTAAGGAGTTTTGCATTTGACTCCATTTAGAAAGGCCCGACTTAACAGGTTAGTGTAATAAATGTGTATATTTGTCAATATCTCACACATAATAGACCTATTTGTTACTGCATAGGAAATGAAGTGGACACTTTGGTTTTCTCATTATCTACTGCCAGAGTTTTGAATCTTTAAACATATAGTTATATATGTAAATGCTTTCACTACTAACTTCTAAAAGTAAGAAAACAAACCACAGACAGTTCATTGCTACCTCTGGGTTTTTACTAGCTACTGCTTCCTACTATTATTAATACTAAATACTGGTGCATCTACAAAATAATTATAAAATTATCTCTATCTTTTAATACTGCATAATTTTCAACTTGCCAAAAGCTACAGATACAGTATCCTAGAGTACTGTGGACAGCTCTTCCTTTTTTAAAAAAAGCTGAAAGCTTCTATTCAAAAGGAAGGAAATATACTATGTGTCTCAGGTAACCAGTCATAAAAAATGAACTGCCTCATGAACAGCTTTGGAACATTTTATAATGTGCAGAAATCAGAATTAGTTGACAGAAACATTCCACAATATGTATTTTTGTTGTAAACACCTCATTAATTTTTTAGTTCATACAGATCTATAACCTCAGAGAAGGATAATTTGATTAATTTTCATTTGCTTTCTCAATGATGCTCTTTGAAAAAAAGGTTTTATTTTTTTTTCCAGTATTCTGATCAAAACCCAATAAATCATTCTGAACCAGCTCAAAATTCAATACAGCACCTCTCAGTATTTGTAAATAAAGACTGTGGAATGACAATCTGACTATACAAAATTGAAGAGAAAATTTTTGTTTGCTTCATTGCTTTTCATGACACACTACTTGGATCATATTCTACACCAAAGACCATTTTTTCTCCTATAATATGTGTTTGTCCATTTAAAGGTGTACATTAGGCAGAATTTAGCCTTTGAGCTATGCTAAAGCAGCTACAGTACCTGCAAATGCCTTGGGTTAGCAACTCTTCTGGCTGTCGTTGTTCTTGGTAATAAATTGTATGAAATAACCTCAAGTCTCTTAGAGTTCCTGTTAGTAAATCATTTTCTATAAAGAAATACCACTTAGCTTTTATATGAACAGTAGGTAATGGAACAGGACTGTTCGAACTGTTCATATTATTTTACTGTTTCAAAAGGTAAAAGCCCCTGTTAATAGGTAACTTCTGTGTGAGGAGTGAGATTTTTAGAATTAAGAGGAAGAATGTAAACAGAACAATTAATTCTGACACAGTGTACTTTCTTCTGAAGAAGAGGGAAGGGTTGTAGTTAGCTTTCTTATTAGCCAGGGAAACACAACTCTGTCCTGCATGGGAGGTCATGGGAGCTGTGTCCACACACAGCTTTGAGAGGTTGTGAGAGAGACACAGACCCCTGGCTGTATTCACACATACATACACACAGAGAGCACAGCAAGAACAGAGCTGTCTTCACAAGACCTTCCCAGAGGAGGATCAGGAAAAGCTGGCATGACTAAACTTTACAATGTGTTCAACAAATGCTTCCAGAGCAACTGATGGAGCAGTGGCAAAGTAGTGTGCAGGTTGCTAGAGCAGGATACAGGCAGCAGATTCAGGCACCAGGATAGGGAGAGCTGAGGTGGCTTTAACCCTCTCCCTATCTACAGTCTCTTTTCTCCTCCTTCTGACCCATGTAGGGTCCTGTCATTCATGGCTCTGCGAACATCAATTTTTACTCTGGCTCTCATTGGACTGTATTCAAATGGACATCTTTCTTCATGTGGTATGGAAGAGGAAGTTGTGTCTCACACGACATTTTTTACTTCCATTTTCTTGCCATTTTGCTCTGGGGGGAGTTTGGGACCTTCCCAGGTGAGTTAGGTACTGTTCCATGGACAGATCTGTCCCTGGACAGACCTGGTGAAGTGCCATGTATCAAGATGCATGTATCATAAGGATGATCTGTGTTTGGAGGACAGATGTGGAAAGATGGATTAGACAGTGGTTCTGGCTGTACACATGTCTTCCCTTACTGGGGATGCAGAGTCTGAGGTAGAGAGTACAGCACATGAGCAAACCTACTAATTTGCTATTGGTGAGGTCTGTATGGAATTTTGAGGCATAAGGGAGTGAAAATCATCACCTGGCAGGCTCCTGTAGCACTCATCGCACCACCTCCATGGCCAGATCCTGTGGTGGGGCTCCATATCTCCACTCCTGCACATAACATTTCCTGAGAAGCATTGCTTGGAGCAGCATTACCTAGATGGGATTTGTGCCAGCCTTTTAAAGGATCAGTCCTTCAAACACCAATTGCCAGGAAACAATTATTCCTGTGGGGGAATTTTCTGCACTTGAAGTCAGCTATATATCACAGCTCTGATGTCATGGGAAAGGTTTTATAGTGGCTCATGCTGAATTATAGCTTACAAGAATGATATCATAGCTGTGAAATACAGCCTTTTACTCTTCCCCACAGAGATGTGTCCAAAATGCTGAAATAAGGGCATGATCCCGTAATGTCCTTCTTGACTGCACAGCCTTCACGATGCAGCACAGCAGCCAAGCCCCAGCAGCTACCCTGTGAGTGGCAAGAGAGACACACCTTTACAGACCCTGGCTTAAGCGTGCAACTGGGGTAAGTACCAGCTGAATGCAGGGTGCCTCTGCCCTATTGGTGCTGATTGCTCTTTTATGGGTCATAGTGAGGGATTCAGTAGCGTGAATAAAAAAGGACAGAGCACGTCACTCTGAGCTGAGCCTTTAGTAGAGTGAGCTCTTGTGGCTCCTAAATGCCATTTTGTGCTCCAGTCCCAGTGTCTCATGCACCAGAGAAGTCTCTGCAATGGAATAGTTTTTCTTCTGCAATCTCTCTTTATTTTGAAAACAAGACATTTACCGGGGACATTTTATTTTCTTTAAGTGCAGATGTGCAAATATAATTGATGTGACCCAGGGATGGGGGGCTAAAATTTGTTTTCTTCACATTGTAAAAAGACAGGTAAAAAGAGGCACTTTAAACGTGGCATTTCTCTCAACCACCAGCTGGTCAGGTGGCTGGGGAACTTGCTGTGTAATCAAATGTCAAGAATGAAAAACAATTTTAGTGTACAACAGCCTCAGACAACTAGCTTAGCTCTGCCAGCTCAAATATATAGCAAATCTAGGCTTTTTACAAGAAAAAGAAGGAATGTGCACATCCAAGCTTAAAAAAATCCCAGTCTCACTTTAGCTATGGTCATTGTTAAGATAAAAGCAATGTCACTTGCAGCCACAGAACTTTCTTCAGTGTGACAAGCTGCAGATCTGAAGTTTATGTTCATGCTTCTTTGAAAGATTTAAACCTCAGACAATTGCTTAATCACTATAAATATCTATTTCAAAATTATTTCCCCCAGGTGATAGTAGTCATAGTCAGCCTTTCTATTCACCCTCTCCAATACTTCATTAATGTAATGTCTTAATGTGAGAACTCAGTGCAAAATTTACATCCTTTCAGAGCAATATCCAAGTATTTCAACTATAAATCAAAAGGGAAATGCATCCATTGGAGTTACTCCTATGAATCAGGGAGCTCTGCCCTGGAGATGCTCTTCTGGCACAATGACAGGCATCAGGTACAGATTCCTGACATGAGGAGCCCTGAAGAGGTTCTCCTCTGCTCCTGCTCAGCACTCTGGGTTGTAACGGCCTTCCCAGCTGGTTGTTAAATAAACTAGACTAGCAAAGAGCCTTCCCATGAGAGGCATCAGCAGGGAGAGGGAAAACAGCTTTTCCTCATTCTTTTCTGTTCAGCCCCATAGTACTCACTCCATCAGCAGACTCTCAAAGGAATATGCTTTATAAAGCATATTATAGAGTCTGGACTTTAGGATAATTTCTTTTCTGAACCCATGCATTCAATTGTATTTCTGTATGAATTTATACATCCTGGATGTTATGGGCTGCTGATCATTAGATTTTAAATAGCTTCTAAATAGGCTAGCAACCATCGGCTTCTCTAAAGCTTCTGATACAACTTTTATTCAAACAGAAGTGACAGTTTAGCAGATCCTTTATTCTCTGGTTATCAAGGTACAGTTTCATTGTTCCAGTGCTGCATACAAAGCTTTGCAGATTTGGATTAAGGTCCATTAGTACACTGGAACATCAACAGTGCTTTGAAGAGCTCCTAATGTACTGCTATTCTCGCACAGAAACTGAATGAGGAGGTCAAAGTTAATATTTGCTTTGGCATAGCATGTAGGAATCTGAGCATGGGAAACGTTTTAGGGCTTGTGGCATGTTTATTTATTTATTTGTTTCTTTATTTCTGGGACACAATAAATTGCCTCCATCTTTATGGAGTTTCATTAAGTTCTTAGAGAAAGAAGCACAAAGATAGAGAATGGATCCTCCTCTCTCTTTCTAGCAGATTACACTATGTACATGTACCTTTACTGCCCCCAAATCAGGTCTAATTTAGAGCTGTTGCTAGAAAGATACAAACTAGTCTCTGGCTTCATCATCATATTAAGTGCTTACCAGCAGTATCTTTGGAAGAAAATGAGGTTTCTACCCTAA